CTCTCTCTCTCTCTCTCTCTCTCTCTCAAGGTTCTTCGAATCTTTGCAAAAATTTTCACAACTACAAATCAGTTTCTCGCGTTCGAAGTTGAAACGAGTTGGAAGTCGCTCGCAGGACGTAGTTTTCCCATTATTTTTCTAAGTGGCAGAAATTTAAATTCGAGCCCATCGATCACCACAAAACTTTGATAAGCTCGTCACAGTGTGCGCGGCTGTTGCAAACACTGCGCCGGGTTAATGTCAGCTCGATGACTTTTCGATAGTTTCTGCCCGGCGATGAAAGATTCGTCCCGAATGTTGCCCGGTGTGTTGGAAATTCGACAGGCTCCTCATGCAAATTTTTCCCTCGTCACGTCACATGCGTTCTTTCGCATAAAAAATGCTGATGGATCGACCGTCATCCCTCCGCGCCGCGTGAATTTAAAATTGCCGCCAGACGAGATACAAATTTTTTTTTTTTTTTTTCAAACACGAAACATCTTCGAAGATGTATCTTGACGAAACTCGTCCAACCCTTTCGTTCATGTTGATCAGGTCGATTCTGTCTGCATTCTGTTCAAGCACACCGGAAACTGCACGAGCGAGGGTTCATTGAGAAAAAAAGCACGTGACGTTGAATATTATTCAACACGGGCTCCGCCTTGCTGAGTAACTTTCACCCGGATCTTTCGCTCGTGTCTCCAAAATTATCCACTCGCCTCCCCGTTTTCAAACTACCCGATGCTCAATTAAATAAATGAAAAGGGACTAATTAAATAATCGAAAAGTAAATGCAAAAAAAGGATTGATTAAATAATGAAATAAAGAAGGAGTTAATTGAATAATTAAATAAATAAAAAGGAGTAATTTTACGGTTAGGTTTAGGTTAGGTTTAAATTGAGTATTATTTAAATTATTCAATAAAGAAGGAGTCAATTAACTAAATAAATAAAAAGGGATAAATTTACGGTTAGGTTTAGATTAGGTTTAGGTTAGGTTTAGGTTGATTATTATTGATAAAATTATTAAATAAAGAAGGGGTCAATTAAATAATTAAATAAATAAAAAGGGGTAATTTTACGGTTAAGTTTAGGTTAGGTTTAGGTTAGGTTTAGATTGATTATTATTGATTAAATTATTAAATAAGGAAAGGGTTAATTAAATAATTAAATAAATAAAAAGAGGTAATTTTACGGTTAAGTTTCGGCTGATCATTATTGATTAAATTATTAAATAAAGAAGGGGTCAATTAAATAAATAAAAAGGGGTAATTTCACGGTTGAGTTTTAGGTTAGGTTTGCCTGGGAGTTCCGGTATTTCGAGCATTTTAATTGTAGAATTTCCATCGTGGCGAGTCATTTTTCTTCCAAGCCCTTTCGGGTGGCGGACGTTGTCGTCAATTTTTAAGGAGTTCCGCGTAAATATTGTCGTTAGGCTACGCCACCCCTGACGTGACTTTTATTGCCCGAAAGGGTTTGACTGCAATTAGAATATTCTGAATAATTAATCGTCACGCTGCAATCGTAATGGCAGCGTAGCTCGCGTTATACGCCGGTTCATCTTGCATATTCGACAACAATCTCATCAATTTTCAATCGATTCTCTCCATTGTCCGTACCGTATATATATACATATATATATATATCCCTTTCTTGCACGTAATCTTTTTTATTTTCTGTTGCGTTGAGCGTGACATCAGCGAGCTGAAATTCCGATCGTTGCTTTCCTCTTGTACCACCTCTGTGATCTATAATCTGTTATTTACTGTTATATTATCTTTTCTTATCACTATATTATTAACAACGTAATATATCTCCATTTCGGTTGAGTGTTCAGAGACATCAGCGAGCTAAAAATTCGATCGTTGCTTCTCTTTGCACTATCGTGATCTATGATCTATTTTCTATTATTTTCGTGATCAATGATCTATTTCCTATTTTCTATTATTAGCGTGTCACTTTTTACTATCACGTTGTTAATAAATATAATTTTTATATTGCTTCAGTATCAACGGGAGATCGGGTGGCCGAACTTCGACTCTTAAACCGATTTTAATTCGGCGGCAAGCGCGTGGAATTAGTTATGGTCGTGCACGTGCACGCTTCACACGATTGGCAGTGATTGCGTGATTCTCCATTGTGCATGCGACGCTTGTAGAATATGGAGAGCCCCCATGTCCCGTGATTTCACGTAACCGATACGATACTTTTCACTGGTGTTCTCGCGACACCGGCTGAACAACTGTTCCATTGTCGAAAACTCTTCCTGTATCCTGGAATTCCCGTCTCGCTTAACATTCGTATCAACGCGATCAGAGGCTCGTGCTAATTAACTTGTGGTAATTAAAATTAACACGTTTGCGATAACGTGATGGTATATGGTTTCTTCTTCTTTTCTCAGGTTTTCCCAACAAAAACTCGTGTCAAAGATTTCCTCCTAAAAACTGTGGGTTTAAAAGCCTTTCAAATCTTCTGGCTCTCGTGTTGCCGACAAAAATTTATCAAAGGTCGCGCATAGTTTATATTTTTCTTTTTTTTTTTTTCATCAGTTCAACCTATGTTATTTATGAGGATGTTAAAACAACTTTTATAGTTCGGAGAAAGATATTTACACTGATGGAAACAATAATGAAGAAAATTTTCAACGAGAGCACTGAGGTTGTTTTTTAGGTATCAGATCATTAATATCAGGTAAAAAGTTTTTTTTTCAAGACGCCTGTCTAGAATTTTTGTTCTCAT